TGTGGAGACAACAAAGTAGACTTACTGGTGAGTGGAGACAACAAAATGGACTTACTGGTGAGTGGAGACAACAAAATGGACTTACCAGTGGTTGGAGACAACAAAATAGTCTTACCAGTGGTTGGAGACAACAAAGAAGACTTACCAGTGGTTGGAGACAACAAAGTAGACTTACTGGTGAGTGGAGACACCAAAATAGACTTACTGTTGAGTGGAGACAATAAAATGGACTTACCAGTGGTTGGAGACAACAAAATAGTCTTACCAGTGGTTGGAGACAACAAAGAAGACTTACCAGTGGGTGGAGACAACAAAGTAGACTTACTGGTGAGTGGAGACAACAAAGTAGACTTACCAGTGGTTGGAGACAACAAAGTAGACTTACTGTTGAGTGGAGACAACAAAGTAAACTTACTGGTGAGTGGAGACAACAAAATAGACTTACCAGTGGTTGGAAACAACAAAGTAGACTTACCAGTGGTTGGAGACAACAAAGTAGACTTACTGTTGAGTGGAGACAACAAAGTAAACTTACTGGTGAGTGGAGACAACAAAATAGACTTACCAGTGGTTGGAAACAACAAAGTTGACTTACCAGTGGTTGGAAACAACAAAGTAGACTTACTGTTGAGTGGAGACAACAAAATGGACTTACCAGTGGTTGGAGACAACAAAATAGTCTTACCAGTGGTTGGAGACAACAAAGAAGACTTATTACTGGGTTGAGACAACAAAATAGACTTATTACTGAGTGGGACAACAAAATAGACTTACCAGTAGAAGGAGACAACATCATAGACTTATTACTGAGTGGGACAACAAAATAGACTTACCAGTAGGAGGAGACAACAAAATAGACTTACCAGTAGGAGGAGACAACATCATAGACTTATTACTGAGTGGGACAACAAAATAGACTTACCAGTAGGAGGAGACAACATCATAGACTTATTACTGAGTGGGACAACAAAATAGACTTACCAGTAGGAGGAGACAACATCATAGACTTATTACTGAGTGGGACAACAAAATAGACTTACCAGTAGGAGGAGACAACAAAATGGACTTACTGGTGAGTGGAGACAACAAAATGGACTTACCAGTGGTTGGAGACAACAAAATAGTCTTACCAGTGGTTGGAGACAACAAAGAAGACTTATTACTGGGTTGAGACAACAAAATAGACTTATTACTGAGTGGGACAACAAAATAGACTTACCAGTAGAAGGAGACAACATCATAGACTTATTACTGAGTGGGACAACAAAATAGACTTACCAGTAGGAGGAGACAACAAAATAGACTTACCAGTAGGAGGAGACAACATCATAGACTTATTACTGAGTGGGACAACAAAATAGACTTACCAGTAGGAGGAGACAACAAAATAGACTTACTGGTGAGTGGAGACAACAAAATGGACTTACCAGTGGTTGGAGACAACAAAATAGTCTTACCAGTGGTTGGAGACAACAAAGAAGACTTACTGTTGAGTGGAGACAACAAAGTAGACTTACTAGTGAGTGGAGACAACAAAGTAGACTTACTGGTGAGTGGAGACAACAAAATAGATTTACTGGTGAGTGGAGACAACAAAGTAGATTTACTGTTGAGTGGAGACAATAAAATGGACTTACCAGTGGTTGGAGACAACAAAGTAGACTTACTGGTGAGTGGAGACAACAAAGTAAACTTACTGTTGAGTGGAGACAACAAAGTAGACTTACTGGTGAGTGGAGACAACAAAGTAGATTTACTGGTGAGCAGAGACAGCAAAATAGACTTTTGCTATGTGGAATAAAAACAGATAGCAAAGAAAAGGACTGTTTTTTGGAAGGACTGTCTTAGTTTTCAGAGAATCTTGTTCTTTTTTTCTTTTGGAAGGACTGTCCTAGTTTTTCGAGAATCTTCTTTTTTCCTTTGAAAGGACTGTCCTAGTTTTTCGAGAATCTTCTTCTTTTTTCCTTGGGAAGGATTGTCCTTGTTTTTAGAGAATCTACTTTTTTTTTCCTTGGGAAAGACTGTCCTAGTTTTTAGAGAATCTTCTTCCTTTTTCCTTGCGAAGAACTGTCCTAGTTTTTAGAGAATCTCCTTTTGTTTTCCTTTGGAAGGACTGTCCCAGTTTTTCAAGAATCTTCTTCTTTTTTCCTTGGGAGGACTGTCCTATTTTGTAAAGAATCTCCTTTTTTTTTCCTTGGGAAGGATTGTCCTAGTTTTTAGAGAATCTTCTTCCTTTTTCCTTGGGAAGGACTGTCCTAGTTTTTAGAGAATCTTCTTTTTTTTTCCTTGGGAAGGATTGTCCTAGTTTTTAGAGAATCTCCTTTTTTTTTTTCCTTTGGAAGGACTGTCCCAGTTTTTCGAGAATCTTCTTCTTTTTTCCTTGGGAAGAACTGTCCTAGTTTTTAGAGAATTTTTTACTTTCTTTTAGAGGACTGTCCTAGCTTTTGAGTCTTGATCTTCTTCCTTTGGTTACAACTTGTTTTATTTTGTTTTGGACAGACAAGTACTCTGCAATTTACGTTTAAGCTGTTTCCACAGAATGGCCAGTCAATTTTTGTAATTAATGTTTTTGTTTTTATGAAAACTAAATGATACATTGTTGCTAAAATAAACTTTCTCTCCTAGATCAGGAAATGTAGATGTGATGAACGACGTCTTGGAGTCCCTTCAAGCTTTAGTAGCAGGCTTGTACAGTGAAGTATTTCATGCACTACTAACCCTTATTAATCGGTAAGTTTTCTGACTTTGTGTTGGTTATGTAAATTTTAAAATTGTAGGATAATATTTCCTATTAAATTTTCAACATTACATCAATTTAATATCTAAGTGATAAACTTTAACATTCTTTGCAAAAAAATAAAATGAAATTTTCCTTTGGTAATTCGGACAACTAACAGAAGTTTCCATTTCAAAAAGTATTTAAATAAAAAGATAAGAAATGTTATTTGAAATAAACATTTTTTGTTTTAAACTTACACTCTTGAATTGAAATTTCTGATTTTTATCAGAAATAAGGCATATTCTGTTATTTCTTTAACATTACTTTACATAAACAGTTTTGGTTAGAATGTTTAATATATTCACTTAACCCTTTCAGTACAGGTCAAAGGCCATGTCATCTCGTTTTTTTGACTCACATTCAGAATTTTATTGAACTACTATTTCATGAATTTATGTCAATAAGTTTCGTATCAAACTGTAGATTATAATTCATATTTTAGAATTATATTTTGGTCAATTTGTTAATTTAAAAGTAAATATTAAAAAAACAAGATAAACATCACTTTTTGTGTGTCACATGGTATATTGAATGCAGCACTGGTTCAGATTAGATGTTTGTGAAGTCAAAATACTATGTCTATAGTTTCATACGAATTAGAAACTCAAATTACAGATTTTGACAAGCTATTAAATCAAACATAGTGGCACTCTGTTCACCTCCTTCCATTTTTGGTAATGCTCCCTTATAAACACTTACTTCTATATATGACATAAATAACCAATCGGAAGTACAGAATGTCCCTCTTGTGGTTTTATAAGCCTTTCTAATGTACCTAGTGTCATTTCTTTCTTTTAAATCAAGATTTCAATGAGGTTGGTTGTGTCTTTAGTCTGCTCGAAATTTAATTTTTTTTTGACCCAAATACAGCTTAGTTACTACGTTTGATAAATTATAGTAGAATTCTATGGTATTGATGTAGTAATTTATGATTTTTCAGTTATACAAAAGTATATATAAAACCTAAAAAAAATATCTTGTTTCATGTCTTTCATGTGCAAGATTTTTAAAGGCTTAGCAACTTTACTTTATTTACTGCTCTATGTTTTAGGAAAAATAACTTTAAGAACTAATTTCAAAATAGCAATAATCTATATACGTATATAATGTATAGTCATTGAAATGTAACTGTATTTTACAAAATACTAGTTGAATAAAACACAGCCAAGACAAGTTACTTTGTACAGACCAAAGGTCACCTGTATGTTATTTGATATGGTAACGTGAGTGCACAGGTGAAAGGTCAATATTATAAAAATAATAAATATATATAAATTTATAATGTTATGAGATTTAAGCTATTTTGTCTAAACATTTATGTTTTTGTTTTATAATTTGTGTTCATTTTAGAATGAAAGATTCATAATTTATGTTTATTTCCTAATTTTTTATGGTGGTTGCGAGATCCATCAAATGTACTAAGCCCGTACAGAGATTAATTACTAAAAATAACAGATAAAATATATAAAGTTTTTTCTTAAGAAACATTTGATAACTATTTGTACATTATAAAGATTTCACATGTGAAATTTCAAAACTTTCTGATGCATAAAAGTATTTTTAATGTTAAGATGAAAATTTCTTTGCATGATAGATAGGCAAGATGTGAAAAGAAAAAAAAAGGCATGAGAAAACATTGCTTTACAAATATTAAGACTTAATAAAACATTAGATATTTTGTGTATGAAAGCATTGTAATG